GATAAAAATACTACAGGTATTTACTTATGACATTAAAAAAAACTGTGTAATATGTGTAAATATTATGTGCTAACAAAAATGAATTTAATAAATTCATAGATGATGGTATAACCGATTCTGAATATGAAACACTTGTCCAGCCATCTAAGTCTAAAAAATCATCAGATTTGTGTTTTAAATTAAAAAGAACTGAAGATGGTGTTCCAACTTATTCATTTGGCCCAAGAGTCCAGCAATATTGGTCATGTGATATGATACACTTGTTAATGGATTGTATCGAAGCAAATGTGGATGTATTTTGGAAAAATCCTACAATGTTTTGGGATTGGTTGGCTACAAACGTATTCACAAATAGAACTCCGTTTGCAATTGCTCAGAAATTTTATGATTTAAGACCAGACAAACATGCTAAAGGATTAAGAGTTCTCAAAAAGCTTAAAAAAAAATCTGATACGCAACTGATTGAAAAAATTGAACGATGTTTTCAACGTTTGTATGAGAAGAAGACATGGTCCCGAGATCGGGACATGAATGTAACGTTCAAATACCCACCTGGGTATGATCCAGGACAAAGATTGTCGGAAAATACTATAACTAAACCACTACCCGCTATTTCTCTCAAAATTGATGAATCAGATTTAAATTTTGCAAAACATTTACTTAAACACAGCTATCCAGATGATGTTTATGTGTTTAAGTAATTTATTCATTTGTTATTCTGTTAGAAAATAATTTTGAAAAACATGACTTATTAAGGAATACATTATTTATTATAGTAAATGTTCTGACGCCAGTGATAAAATACGATGGCCCGAGTTGATAGAAAATCTAGAATGGTGAGTTAATTTTCTAAACAAAAAATTTATTTTGATTAATTCTAATCAATATTATTAACACTTAAACACGTTAAAAGGGAACCACAGAAATATGAACCATTTGACTGGACAGATCAAGAAGAAAATTCTGATTCAATTACAATTTCGGAAGAAAATTCTGATTCAATGACAATTTCAAAAAATGCAAATGCATCCATAGCATTACTACCTGATGATAAATTAAAATTCGAAGCATTTAATAAAAGCTTAACTAGGAAATACAGTTTGATGGAACAAGAAGTAAGATACATTGTAAATACACTGAACAGTTTGAATGAGAAACAAAAACGTCCTCAACCTCCAGCGCCAGATCCAAAGAAACGTTCTCAACTTCTAGATTCCACCACTTTCGCGGTTGAAGATGCGTTAGGGAAAATTCTGGACGTTGTTGGGTCCTTGCATCAAACAGTCATACAGGAGTAAGCCTTACTTTTAGATTAATGTCGTCAAATGAAAACCTAGAATCTTTATT